GCAATATGTGCTAATATTTTTCGCTAAGTTTAGGAACTGTCTCTTATACACATCTAGATGTGTATAAGAGACAGATATATATAATATTATTCATATTCATATTCATATGGAACTTTGTTGGGAATTTGAATCCCGACACGATGGCGTGCATTTCGATACTTGAAGTATGTATTATACGAATGGAGTATATAATATTATGCGAATATGATTCCTGGCGCCGCCCCTGTTCATATAAGAGTCTTATGTCTACTCTTAATTCGCATATGTTTCAATTACGTAAATATTTTTGCTACATTAATTTTTATAAATGTAAATTTCTTGTAATATTGCCGCAATTTAGCTCAAAAGATAGAAAAAGGAAAAACGATACTTGTGGATTCGTTAAGTCGAGCCCTATTAATACCACCTTCTTACCTGATTAAAATCATTTTCATATAGAATATGATGTGGGTAGAGTTGGTGATGGATTCTTGGTTCCTTGATTGCATGTTCTATGTCTTTTCCAAACCACAATGTGTTGATGATTGCCTATCGTAAAATAAAGACGAACAAGACATAAAGAAAATACAAATGTTGTTATTAGTACTAGCAGCAGCAGCAGCCATAGTAGCAGACTGATCCAAAATGGGATATAAAGTCGCATCTTATAATGACGCAATATGTCATAAGACCGTGAAAATTTGTCAGGTATGGTTTAAGATCATGCAAGATCAGCAATCTCGTAAAACTGGTGACCAGAAAAAGGTCTATTAGAAATTATGATGCGATGATATCCCAGCCCTCGATATATAAGGACCATCAGGACGATACAATCACCAGCTAGGGCCCAGTGAAGTGGCACAGAATTATTATCAGATGCGGCTGATCTCCTTTAATAGCACAATTAGATATGAATCCCAAAATGCCTATGAACACTAAATTTTTATTTCATTCTACCACTGAACTGTGACATACAATGTACATAAATTAACATACTAAGGCGGTTCCCGTTGTTATCCTGGTACCTCCCGATGCACCAATTACCAAATGCACTTTATTCGATTCATCGACAAATATCGAAGGGCACATGGAGGACATTGGTCGTTTTCCAGGCTTGATGAAGTTTGAGTGTGACGCGGGAACACGGAATGAGTTGACTGTAGCGGCTGTACTAAAATCATCCATTTGGTTGTTGAATATTATGCCTGTTCGTGTCCCTCGAACTTTAGATCCAAATCTGGGTTTACAATAAATAAATAAATATATATATTATATATATATATATATATACATGTATGTATGTATATATATATATATTCCATAATTTTTTAAGCCATGTTTTGAGCCTTCTATTTACTATATATATTTTGCTCTCATCATACTTTTCTTCAGCTTGACAAAGGTTGATAACCGAAAACGTTTGCTCACTATTAAATAAATATATACCTTATTACCTTCTCTCCGGAGTTTTTTGTTTTTACTATTTTGTTTGCCAATGCAGCCTTCCAGTTTTTTATATATATTTTCTATCATCATTTGCTGCAACCACCGGACTTCTACTCTTTGTTTTGACTATTATCGGTACTCTATGGAAGACCCTAAAAAACTTCTACTTCAACTTCGTCAACATCTATGTGAAGACTTCAAAATGTATCCTGCAACTTTAGAACATTTCGCTTTCCAGTTTGGAGTAGCCACGTTTAATAAGACCAGATTCTGTAATCATGTTAACTTCATTTCTACGTGCCTTAAATCTAACATCATTCCAAAAGGATTTCGATCAAATTGGAGGCCGTTTATTGCCAATGTTCACTCTGATATTGTGTCCAAACCTATTATAGACTGCTCAAGAAGAATTATGCGATCCAGTTTACGCTCTTTTCAAGTCTCTTGCCAAATTACAAGTGCCAAGATGGAACAATTTCGCAACTTACTTAAAGCCTCCTGTAGTACCACTGAATTTAACTACATACGTCATGTTGTCCATATGCTGAACAGAAAATATTATGACTGTCTTACCACTGCTAAGAAAACTAAACTCGATAAGCTGAAACATGCAAGGAAGTCGTCTACCGCTACTAACACCTCACCTGATACATCTAAGCTAGTTGTGACCATTCCATCGGATCTTGAACTAACTGCTGAAGAAAGGTCTGTGCTCTCTAAAGGTCTGTCATTTGTTCCTAAACGCGAGACTATTGATGAATTTCAAGTTAAGTATGATCTGGAACAGTACTACCGTAAACTGCAACTTAAAGCACACTTTCATAACCAGGACACTCTAACTAATAAAACGGATGAATTCACTTGCCTAGTTTCCAATAACTCCGATTGGACTCCACCACTAGGAAAATTCGCTGCTTTAGATCTGTACATCAACAAATGCCGTCATGACATCAATAATTTAAACCTGAAACGCCATGTCAGAAGCAAGAACCTCAGCCGTGGAGAACTAAATGCATTGCGCTCTCTGAAAAACAACCACAATCTGATTATTAAACCTGCTGACAAGGGAGGTGCTACAGTCGTATGGCAAAAAGACCTCTACATCGCTGAAGGACTACGACAGTTATCGGACGCTACCACTTATGAACAGACACCCAC